AGTGTTTCCTCAGAAAATACTGTACTGTACTTGTATGTATTGTTTACTTGAGAATATAACAGAGAATAAACTGCCCAAATACCCTTAAACAAAGGAAAACTACATACTTTATGAAGGCATAGAGCCTTTACTACATGAAAATGAAAATTAATGAATACACTGTGTACAGTAATTTACCTGATAAGACAGACCTCAGAAAAATACTTTACGAGAGCTTTTATACTTTTATAAAGCTGTCTATAATGAAAATTAATTAACTAAGGATTTTTTTGCACTGCCAGGGTGTGACCGAGTTATCCGGAGTGACGGGTTATCGAGAGCCGAGTTTTCGAGGTTCTACTGTAGTAGGATTTTAACTTGAATTTGTTTATGTTGCTCTGTCAACATAAACAACATAAGCAGTATCCATGTCATCTCCCATCTTGGACCCACCTGTGTAAATTCTAAACATAAGATGATCATCAAGATAATCAAAGAAAATGTAAAGCTCAAGCTGCCTAGATGGATGATAATATAACAAAAAGGAAGGGCTTTTGTCAATGCCAAAATACTGAATGTCAGCAATCAGAGTCAAACTAGTAGAATCTTGCATTCCATAAGAATTTTATTGACATCTGAGTCATTGTAATTTCACCAGGGTAGGTTGATGAGTTTCCCATACCAAATTGTTTGTTTAATAACTAAGTCTATCAGAGGGAATCATGACATGACCAGTAAGATGTTGGTTGGTGCTTTTCTATAAACCTTTCAAATGCAAAGAGCCACTATTCTCTGGATAGACACCTGTTTCTGTCTGTTGTGTACTTTGCTAGTCTCATGACCCTAAACCTGTATGGTGTACAGGAGAGCAGGTTCAATAGCTCTCTGTAAGTAATTTTATAGCACAAAAGTAATATGCCTGTACTTTTGTTACCAGCTATGAGAGATGTATTTTTCAATACAGCTTGTTAGTTTTACTTTTGTTTTGTGTGTCTACAATCATGGGTGACCATGCATCCACAAGTGGAATGTATTTTGAAACCTTTGACAACATAAATGATGAGTAGATCTACACATTTCTGACTTACTATGACAAACAAAATATTGTGGATGCCTTAAAAATTTGTAGCAAAATTTTAGAAAAGTTAAATATTATAAAGGAACCAGCAAATGAATTAATAAGCAGGAAAGTGATTGTTTTTGGGAGAAAAATTTACTGAAGGAATTATTGAAGTTTCAAAAGACTAGCATTTTAATGAAGATGTTGAATTACTTTTACCACATGAAGACATCACAGAAGAAGACAGCAACATAAAAAGATCACAGTCCTTTGATTTACCCACAAGCAAGTGTATGTTTTCAATGGCTCTTCTACCAGCTAACATTCCATGTTGGATAATGAAGAATAATACCAGCTGAAAATGAAGAAAGTAAACATAAAATATGTATATCACAGGATATGAAAATAAAAATTCTGAATTTGCCGAGACAGCATCCAAACTGGAGTTTGAAAACAATTCATAAGCATGGAAATAGTATGCTTCATAACAAAAACCAATTAAAATTATGGCCAGAGCAAATTGAGAAAGGTGGAAGAGTAAAAGAAAAAGTCAACAATTAAAATTGATGATAGTGTTATGTAACTTACCATGAGAATCTAAAGTGTCCTAATCATAGTATGTGTGGTGAGGGCATGCCAGTCCAAATGTTGGAGAAAATGTTACAAGAGTACTGTTAGTTTGAGTATATTTGGATCTATTCTGAGTAGAAGAAGCTAAAAACATGTCAATATTTATGAATATGAAACTGTGATCACTGGCAGATGTGGTGTTGGAAGGATAACAGCCGTTGATCCTAGGAGTCATGTGTCTATCTTTAACATTATATCTATCCAACTCTCCTGTAGAACAAGTAGGTTAGAAGGATCTTATATTAAGAGATGTGAAGTTAAGCTATTGTTTTGTTAACCACAGTTTCCTTAGGATCTTTTATTGGACTATGAGTCACAGACTTGGCATTAAAATAACTCCTATTAGTATCAGTTTATCTTTCTTTGTGTTCAGGAAATTATGTGTTTCTTCAATGGCTGTCTCTGTGTCTTCCGTGTTTAGAATGTAGATGGAAGATATGTATATGTCAAGGTATTATTTGATATACAAATAGTGGTAATATATATAAAGACATAATTTATTCAGCTTGCTCCTGTAGCTCAATGATTCATTCCTGACTTTGGGATTCCTCTATAGCCTTATTAACATATCATTAATCAAGCTATTCTGTCTACATTTCCCAATCTATGACCCAAAAGGGAGTAGATTGAGTGAACTGCCAAAAGATCGTTATTTTTGAATGGTTATCTGTGTAGATAGTTGAGTTACCATCCTCACTAATTTGCCAGCTGTGAAAATTAGCAAGTGTGTTAGAATAAATATTTTCTTTAAGACTAAAAAACTCACAGACATGACAAGAAAACTGAAAATAGCAAAAACACAAGAAAGATGATTAAACACACTAGCAGAATACCAAGAACAAACTAATAAGAATGACCCAAAAATGTAAAACACCCTAAAAACTGAAATACAATAAAACTGCAAATCAAAAACCTACAAACTACTTAAGTACTACTTAATACAACTTAAAAAACTATTTAAAAATAAGATTATTAACTAAATACAAGCTAGATAAAAACTGCAAAATACAACAAACAGTAAAAAGAAGGAAGGACATACCCTCCACAACCTATTGCAACAGTAGGAGCTGGAAACAGTCCAAAAATAGAGAAAGCACTAAATTTAAAAACCCAAACTAATGCAAAATTAATAAGGGAACCAAGAACTAACAAAATACTAAGAAACACTAAACTAATATAATCCCATCTAACTAAGCACTAGTCTTTGTTTTAGTTAGTAACCAAACTAGTCTTTGTTTTAGTTGAAGGTGCTAACACCACCAGCTAAAACAAAAAGCAGAAAAATTTACAGAACTAACTAAATAACAACTAGAAATAAGGCAACAGAAAGAGACCTGAATTTCTACTGGCAAAGAAATATTACATTATCTCAATCATTGATCTTGAAATTACCATTCAACCTACAAAGAAATCAAGTCTGATGGAAGTCAAAAATAGAAAAAATAAGTAGATAGATTACATATATTGCTCATTTCATTTGTCTCCAAACATATGTGATATAACTAGGGACTATTGTATTTTTGTAATATAATTGAAAAATAATATAAAATATTTCTTTTAATAAATTTTAGGTGCTATTTTGGAGTTAAAATTGGATTATATTTTGCATGGCTAGGATTTTATACTTACATGTTAACTTCTGCTTCAATAGTAGGAATTCTCTGCTTTATATATGGATGCATAACTCTTAACAAAAATGTTCCCAGGTTTGTATTGTAAATTTAATTTTTTACTAAAAATTTTATATTGCATGAAGATTCATAAAATATAATTTATTTAATAGTAAAGAAATTTGTGGAATTATGAGTAATGTGACAATGTGCCCTTTATGTGAAGATGAATGTCGATACTGGAAACTTGGAGAATCCTGCAATGCAGCTTCTCTTACTTATTTGTTTGATAATGCAGCTACAACTTTCTATGCAATATTTATATCTATTTGGGGTATGAATTAATTCAATTATTTTGTTTCATTCATTAAAAACATTTCTTCATTTATTATTCATTATTTCATTTCATTTAATATCATGATTGTGATATTATATAAAATAAAAAGTATAATTTTAATAACATCCTTTATGGTTATCTCTGGTAAAGTCAGTATCATATGCTTTACTCACTAGACATTCAATAAAAATTTTACCAACAGATAATAGTTATTTAATTTTATAAGAATCATGTGTTTCAGTTCTTAGAATGGCCTATTTTTAATATTTTGAGAATATAAATTTATTATAAATTAGACATCCTAAAAAATATTAAATTATTGTTCAGCTAATTGATTTAGTTTAAAAAATATATTAATTGATATTGTAATGATTAAGAAGTATCTATATTAAAAGTATAATATGAATTTATGTATTCAAGAAAGTTTACAAAAATACCAAATACTTTTTTGCCCCAAATCTTACAAAGACTAAATATTATTTTATTATCTTCCAAGTATTCCATAAACAGAAATTAATAATTGAGGACTGGAAGCTTGGACATTTTGTAGAATTATAACATACAAGGCATTCATAAATTAAATACTTTTTTACATGTAAACAATTGTTGCATAGTTAATGTAGTTTTATTTACTTTTTTCAGTTTTAAATAAAAACTTGTATATTTTTTAAAAACTGTCAATTTAGATAAAAGTTTCAGACATCACTATTATAATAGTTATGTCTGAAACTTTTATCTAAATTGACAGTTTTTAAAATATATATAACTCTTCAGGCAGATGCACATGTAATGCATTAAAAAACAACAAATTTTCAGCAATGATTACCATCTGTTGTGACAACATTGTTTGACAGTCTGGTGCAAGTAGACACTGATGTGGTATTTGTAGTATTGTCTTGCTTCTGACAGCTACTAGTAACATTGATTTTCATGTGATTTGATGTTTTTAAAATTAATATCCTGTGATCGTTTTATGTGGTGTAAAATTTAAAAGTAGCTTTTGATCGAAAACCTCAAAATACCTCATAAACATGTATTAATTCCTTAAATTGTTCTCTTTTCTTATCAAAATAAGAAAATAATTTTAAAATACAGGTAACCCCCGTATAACACTGGAGTTACATTCCAAAAAATTACTGTGTTATGCGAATCCATGTTATACGAAACAAAGAATTAGTGCAAAAAGGGGGGTTAGGTTCCAAAAATTAAAAACATGTTGTTAAACCCTTATTTAAATCGGATTTATTATTCATTTTTTTTATAGATAAAATACTTATTATTTAAGTAAATATTTTACCAGAGGATTATTCAGTTTATGTGATGATTTCAGCATGAGAATCATCAACTGGTAACAGTTTGTGGGTGTGTTCGTTAATAGTGGTCGCTCTGCAACAAGAATGCGCTGCTGTTTGTAGGCATTTAGGAACAACGGTGAAAGAAAGATGGTGGCGCCTGCACTATCGATAGTATTGTGTGGAGGAATCTATAATTCTAAAATGAGCTTTGAGGCAAAAGAAGGGTCCCAATTGTAAAATTTAACCATTAAATTGATTATTTGTTGAAAGAGCATTCAAAGTAGCCATGAAAACAATTAGAATGCTCGCATGGAGTTACACGGAGCTATAAAAATTTCATGTTGTACGAGGGTTTTACCCAATTCCCAAACCGTGTTAGAGTGAACCCGTTCTATAAAAGCACCATGTTATATGGGGATGTTCCCAATTCTCGAACTGTGTTAGAAGAAATGCTATAGAAGTGCCGTGTTATACGGAGGTTACCTGTACAGCATTTAAATGAGCATAGCAGTCATTTTAATCTTGAATATTTATGTTAAGTGCACAGTAAAAAACAAAACATCACTTGCTGCATATGGCTGATCTTCCACAGGTGGCATTGCAATTTCAGTATTCACTTTTCCTTTCCAGTTACATCCTTTATGGTTATCTCTGGTAAAGTCAGTATCATATGCTTTACTCACTAGACATTCAATAAAAATTTTACCAACAGATAATAGTTATTTAATTTTATAAGAATCATGTGTTTCAGTTCTTAGAATGGCCTATTTTTAATATTTTGAGAATATAAATTTATTATATTTAAATAGAATGCTTTAGTTTTTAACAGATATAAAGAAAATTTGATTTGTCTTAAAATGTCATTTTTTATTTTTTTGAGTGTGTTATGATTTTTCTATATTTTTATGTAATTTGTACGAAAATTTATGTATGTAATTAATGTAAATGATGAAAATTTATATGTAATATAAAATATATGTAAATGGATGAAGACTAATTTAACTAACTACTAATACATTAAAAAAGTGTCTAGTGGTACTTGTAACTATGGTTTATCCTATATTGTTTTAAAATTATATAAATTATTTTAAACATAGAAACTAAAATATTAAAATACCTAAAATTGAATGTTATTTATAATTTTATTTAATTTCATTAAAATAAAAAACAAACAATAAAAACTTTTTCTTATATAATACAGTGGGTGATTGGTTAACGAACAGATCGGATAACGAACACTTTTGCGAAAAATTTTTATGTTTGAACAATGAACACATGATTGGATAACAAACACCCCAAAGAACAAACACAAGAAGAAGCGACGTAAAATAATGAATACCGATTGGTTTTCCCTTGTCTTCGGGCAACAATTCGAAACTTTTCGGAGTGTGGGAGACGTCGACATTGACGCTCAAGCTGGTATATACTGATCGGATAGTATTCCTTCAAACTTTGATACTCTCCCTTGTAATTCCAGCCTTTTATTTTTCTGACAAAACAATTCTTATATGTATTTGCGAGAATGTCAGGTAGGCACTCGTTAAGTTTTGCATCTGTTTTTCTTTTCAAAAGGTGAGAGTATAATAGCAAAGGTAGAGAGTAGGCAGAAGATGCCTAATGTTGCTAGGCAGTATGGTGTGAACAGATCTACAGTAGGCCGTAGTTCAATCTGATTTAAGAAAAATACTGTATAATCAAGAAGACTCAAACAGCTGAAGAAGTAACAAAAATTACGTCTGAGAAATAAAGAACATCGAAAAGTTCATAATGGAACCTGAAACGGATCTGACAACAGAAGAACGCCAAGAACTCTTGAATGAAGAACACCAAGAAACTCGGCGAGATATGTTTTCTTTTGAAAAAGAGGATTAATGCCAATATCTGTTATTAAAGATCCTTTGAAGAAGTGGGAGAATGTCAGAACAACGGTCTTAGAATGGCATCCAAACCAGGTTGAGGCTTGGGGATTTCTACAATTTCTATTAATTACAGTACTTACAAAAAATCCTGAAGAAGAAAGAAAAGCAATTGACATTAGACAGATTCTTTAACCCTTTCAAATGGAAAAACATGACTAATAAAAACACAAGACTGTGTATGTATGTATTTTTATTATTACATATAAATAGTATATAAGAAAGTAAGAAAGTATATATTTTTTATTTTTGGGAGGTCTCCAGAACGAATTAATTAAATTCCCATTAAAACCTATGGTAAATAGATAATCGGTTAACGAACAATTCAGATAGCGAACAAAGTCTTGGAATGGATTATGTTTGTTAACTGATCACCCACTGTACATAAAAATTGCCTAAAGAATTCTTTTAGGTATAAAAATAATTTATTCTATCAAAATTTATTTATTAATTCTAATTAACATAACAGAAAATTTATTAATTTGATTAAATGATTGATTTATTATCTATTGATAGTTTAAATTAAGTTTTATGATGCATTCTTTTTTATATTAAACAGAAAAATTGTACAATCTTTTTATGAAAGCTGTGCAATCAATAAATAATGAATAAATTAATCTGTAAAAATTTATAAAACTAACTATTATATTTCTGCAGAAAAAACTTGTATAATATAGTTATGTCAAATAATAAAATCTTCATTAATATTAATTTATTAAATGTTTATTTTATGTTCAATTATACTTTTATAGTTATAATACAGAAACATTTCAAATAATTGACTGAATAATGAATTATAGAATTAGTAGTATTATTATAAACATCATTCATTTTCTAGTAAACATTCTTTTAATTAAAAAAAATTTGAAATTAATTAGGAACTGTGTTTTTGGAATTATGGAAAAGATACTCAGCACGAATAACATATCGTTGGGATCTTGCAGGATATGACAGTACAGATGTAAAATTATTTTAATTAATTTTCAAAATTTTATTTGATATTTAAATATAATATTAAATTTATTATTAAACTTTAGGAACACCCACGACCAGAATATCTTGCTAGACTTGCTGATGCAAAAAAGAAATTAAATGTTGTTACTGGAGTAAGTGTTAATTACATTAATATTTTTTATTATGTTTAAATACTTAAATCTCATATCTTTTATATGTGACTTAAGTATTAATTTTTATGAAATAAAATCAAAAATATTTAAAATTTTTAACTGGCATTAAAAATATAAAACTGAATTTTTAAGTATAGATAACATTGTCTCAGAAATGAATCTTCAAAGCATTATGGTACTTTAAAAATCATGATTAAATGTAAATTTATATTTATCAAAAACTGTAAACAATACTTAGAAATCAAATTTTAAAACATTTTCATACCTTATCTATATATATATATATATATATAAATGGACGTATATGAGAAGATCAAATCGGAAGAAGCCTGTACATAATGGCCGGGTTTTATTGCGGCTTTTATCTCTGCTCGAAAGAAAACAATTATTCTTAGATTCACGTACTTTGTCAAATTTTCGGCCGATTTTCTTGGCTTGACTTACCGATTTTCTTGGCTTCCTTTTCGCAAAAATAACCATTCTTCCGGGAGCAGTTTTGCCCGATCGTGCCATTATTCGAAAAATTTTCCACGCAATCGTCGGGAGCTTCACCCCGTACTTCGAATTAAAGATTTTTTAAATGTATTATTAATATTAAACGTAGAATTGACAA